TAGCTAGATGGCTAGAGCAGCGAATGGACGATGAGTGGACAGGGGAGTGGACAGAGGCCGATGCACAAATCCATGGTAGTGCAGTGAGGAGGAGAGGAGGAATAAGCTGAAGTCACCGGGAGGAGGATCCGTGCAAGAAGCGAAACTGGGTGAGGGAAAAAACATCAGTGGTGAGAGAGGACCTAGAATTGTAAAGGTACAAGTAATGCGAATTCGACAACAAAAGGCACAGAAATTTGAAATATACGCAGAAAAAATAACAAATATTCCGTAGAATTACAAAGGTAACAAATGACGCAAATTCGACGAGAGCTACAAAACACATAAAAACTTGAAATATAAGCAAAAAAATAACTTGTATTCCAAATTGCATTTACAGCCTAAGGTGGAATTCTGGAAGAATTTGAAAAAAAAAAATTTGCATTTCACTAATGATGCAGAAACGTATAAAAACAATAGAAGTATGTGAAATGCGCGTGCTGCAAAATGCGTATTTTAAAAAAATTCCGAAGAATTACAACCCCGCATCGGGGTCGAGCAGTTCCTACTGATTAGTGAGTAAAATGCAAGCAAAACAAGAAAAATACATGTGATCAGCACAAGAATATGGATTTTGTGTATGTGTCGGAAGATCAATGAAGCGGAAATAGCCGTGTTGAGGCGCAAAATTTCAGTTGATAAAATACAAAATCTAACCGTTTACTTGCTTTCTCAGAATTCCGGCTATTCGCGAGAACCATCAATAATCGACGAACAAGATTCCTCAATGAGTAGCAGTCGAAGAACCAACTTGAATTCCTAAATAATTATGATATGATGGACCATACTGTCGGCTTAAACCTTCTGCTAGAATTTACAAGAGAGTATCGAATGGTCGAAAGTTTGTGCGAATTATCAAGAAAGCCAAGGCTGCTCAACTGGTATAAGACGAATACCAGACAACCCATATTTTCCAAGCTTTTCAAGACCCTTTATACAGTCCCAGTCGGATCCAGGGAGGGGAGGGAAGGAGAGGCGATGGGTCTTTGGTCTCAGTAGCACAGGCACCAGTGCTACAAAAGTCCGGGTTTAAAGCTAAAACTGAAGAAAACTGTCTTCCACCTCCCTCCCCAGAAAGCGACCACGGATCCACCTATGCATACAGTCTCAGTTCGCAGCTCAGACAGCAAAGATGCAGCTAATCCCACTTGCTGAGTACCAAAAAATACGAGCAAAAACAGTTAGCACATGTACACAAGGCGGAGGACAAAGAGGAAGAGATTGATTAGTTGTGAGGGGATAAAGGGAACGAAGCGAGGTAAACATCGGCGATGGAAAATTTGGTTGCGCGAAGGCAAAAACAGACAAACAGCTCAAAAGGGATATGGTAATTTTGGGAGGGAGCAAAGAATCTTTTCGAAGGCTTCGGTGCCTCGAAGGGAGGAGCACGCGATTTGAAGCGAGGGGAATGAAAGGACGGGGATTTGATTGGCTTGAAAGGAAGTAAAGGAATGACTTGTGTCAGTATGTTTAT